TGTCACGGTGCGTGTGGGGAGATGAAGCGAGGACTCAATTGCAGGAGAAATGGTTATTTATTTTGATAATAAAAATGAAACAAAAACAAACTCAAACCACCCCGAAGGGGAAAAACAGACAGGCAGGCCTAAAGCTGCACCACATGCAGACACGAAACACACACAATGAGAAATGACGGATCAGCACAGGATGACAGACACCAGGAGAATAAATAGGAACCAAACGAGGCTAACGAGGGAGACACAGGTGGAGCAACTTAAACTATAACGAGGTAACAAGATGGGAGGGGCAAGACAATAGACAGGAGAGAGCACATGGCAACAGACAAACACAACACAAGCCATGTGCTCACAGAACAGTCATCTGGTGGCCCTCCTGGGCACACCCGCTGAAGACTGTGACACAAGGAAGTAGGAAAGGCAGGAGGAAAATAAATAAAAGAAAAAAGAAAAGAAAAGAATAAAATATGGACCCAATTGACATAAATTACTAGTTCATTCTGATTTAAACACTGGTTGAAAATCCTAAAATTAATCACGACTGGAAAAATTTGAAAAGTGTGGTCACATTTACCGTTGTTCTGCAAATATCCGTGGGCAAAATCCAGTAATTGCAATAGAATTTATGCACTCAGAAATTTTGCATGAGTGTGAAAGTGATTCATACATTTCCACTCTGAAAACAGACAACGGACCTTTTTTGTCCATGCAATTTTACTGATTTGACCGCATCTTAAGGGAAACAAAATTCTATTGTAAATATTTTCAGATCAACTTTTACACGTATTTAAAATAAAAAAAATGTTCACAGTATAATTTGGGCCTTTATTCAGAAACAAATAATTTGAAAACCCCTATTCTGTGCATGTATTACACAATATATCTTCCAAAACTGGTGCATTCAAGTAATGTTGGAAAAATCGTATTTACGAGTTAAAGGCACATGAACATCACATCTTTTTTAATGTTAAATTTGTTAAAATTAATGGAATGCTTATTAATTTTTATTTACAATAAAACTAATCTAAGCATTAAGAATAGTTACTTTGCATTTAAAAGTAATAATAGTGTACAATTACTATAGAATACATCATTTAATTTACAGCACCTTCATAAATTGAATAAAAAAGCAAAACACTCCCATTGTGCATTCATTAATCATTTAGTAGATTAATAAAAATCTTGTTGAAATTTATGTAGAAAAGATCCATTGCCACACTGAACTGAGATTTACTTTAAACTAGTGCTGCCAAATGATTAATCGCGATTAATCGCATCCAAAATAAAAGTTTCTGTTTACATAATATATGTATGTGTACTGTGTATATTTATTATTTATATATAAATACACACACACATACAGAATATATTTTGAAAATATTTACATGTGTATATACATTTATATATTTATATTCTTATATTATATATAAATATATTTAATATATAAACAACATATTTTTCTTAAATATATACATGCATGTGTTTGTATTTAAATATACATAAATATACACAGTATATACACACATATATTATGTAAACAAAATCTTTTATTTTGGACGCGATTAATCGCGATTAATCGTTTTACAGCAATACTTTAAACTGCTAGCACATTTTACAAATATTTACAAAGAAACAGCAAGTAACACTGAATTAATTGTGAAATTTTAAAGTGGAAAGAATGAAATAGTATTTATGAAATTGTTTTTTTTTTTTTTTCAAATTTTCTCCACCAGTCTTTTTTTTATTTACAACTTCGAATTTTTTTTTTTTTTTTTTACAGTGCATCTTACTCTAACCAAAGTTATTTGAATGCCTTGCAATTATGACTTCCCAGCTTAAAAGGACTTACAAGAACTTCCCAGGAGGACTTGAATGCACCAAATGTATAACCAAGAAATGACAATAAATCATAACCAGCAAATGATAGCATGAGGTATATACTGCACAGCAGCTAGCAGTATGCAAGTATTCCTTTGCAAACAGAGCGAGACTGCTGCAGAGAAGTCTAGGCAAGGTTGAGAGAGACTTTCCAAACATTAGTAAAAGTAGAGTCTGTCTTTTTGCTTCCCCCAGGGCTGCTTTCCCCAGCGGGGCCTGCCATGGGATAGCACATCAGACATAAAGTGCTGGTTCCTGGTTGCTAGCATTCCCGCAAGAGCTCTATAAATAAGCAGCTGCGCTAGCGGGTGCAAGCTGTAGTCACTGAGCCGCAGAAAGATAGAGAGAGAGAAAGAGAGAGTGTGACAGATGACTCGAGTTGATGGGACTGCAGAGAGAAAACCCTGATGTGTCCTCTATACACCAACACAAGGGCAAACGCATTGTCACCCTGACTAGCGCTGCGCAGGGAAAACACGGCTGAGAGGCTAATGGCCTGAGAGAGGCCCTGGACATTCATTCACACAACTCAGCTGGGAACGAGACCCCGTAATCAGAGGACAGGAGAGAGGAACGAGGCCTCGGAGACAGAGGGACACCGAAAGAATTAGCGAGGTGAGATTGTAAATGGCCAATGATCCCGTGAATGACTGATGGGGTCGCTAGGTGTGTTTGTAAGCTCAAATGTGTGACTCTTACAGGTCGGTGGTGTGCTCCGGCAGGTGAGGGGGTGTTTTGGTGAGTTTGAGGTTGGAGCAGTCCACCACCGTTCCCTCACACCGACAGCGCTCGGGACAAACCAGGTCCTGAAAACACTCGCCGCTGAGACGACTGCGGTAGTCCTCCGCACCTAACAAACACAACAGACACAAACAGAGAGAAACAGACAATCAACCAGCTTATTCAGCTTATCACACGCATGGTTAAACCTCACAAAATCTAAAGAAATAAGAAATGTATTTGCATAAAAATGAAGCCTTTTTGCACTGTGGCATTATTTTCAGGACAATGAAGCACTTCCACATTAAAATGAAATGAAATACAATAATAAATGGTATTTATAAATCAAGATTTTTGTTGTACCGACTATATACTAATTTAAATAAAAGTTTAAAAAAAAAATAGTAATACAAATTCAAATAATGGGAATTAGAAAATAAAATATCATAGTAAATTCTCTTAATGGCTTAAAATAGAATAAAAAAATATGTGAAATATAAGAACACAATTTTACTTGTTTTTCTATATAAAATGTAAATTTGTATGTTTCATGCAAATATTTATATAAAAGTGTCTGTAATACAGTTAATAATGGCTTAATGACTTTGTAATCGTTGTAAAAAGATGTAAAATATATGAACACAATTCGACATTTTATAATAAAATGTAATTTGAACTTGTCATATAAATGTAATATTTATATTAAATAGAGCTGTAATACAGTTCGAATTTCAAATAATGGGAATTAGGTAAAAATCTCAAAGTAAAAATTTTAATTAAAATTGGGGGAAATGTGCTTCATTGTCTTAATGGCTTTGCAATCTATATATAAAAAAGTCAAATATATCAACGCAATTTTACATATTTTTCTATATAAAATTTAAATTTGTATGTGTCATGCAAATGTTGTAATATTTATATTAAAAAATAATAAAAAATAACCGTATAATAACCGTATAAGTAATACGGTTCAGATTTCAAATAATGGGAATTAGGAAAAAAATCTCAAAGCAGAATGTCTGAAATGTATCACAGTAATGAGAAGTTGGGGAAATGTGCTTAATTGTCTCAATGGCTTTGAAATCTATATAAAAATGTAAAATATATGACCACAATTTTACTTATTTTCTATATTGGATCTGTAAATCTGTAGATATCATGCAAATAAAAAAAAAAAGAGACATTCTTACATTTTCTTTTGATTGTGGGGCAAAACATGACCTGGACATATTTTTAATGTGTTTTACCCACATAATAAATAGGAATGAATATTTTGGTTTTATGTCTTTTTTCTTTCCACCTACAAACACGTCCACAAGCAGCCGCAGGCACTTGTTTGCGAACACAACCTCATCATCTGCATTCTTTTTTTCAGATAACAGCGTCATTGAGCGAGAGGGCAGGTATTGGAGGTCTGGCAATACGAAGTGTTTTGACAGGAAAACACAGGCAGTTTCTGCGTAACACGAGCTTCTGGCCGCCCGCGATAAGTCTGCTTCCCATCAGCCATCACGCGCCTGCCACTGTTTATCATATTCCCACCATCTCCGTTCGGCTGCCCTGATGCTTCCAGCCAAACGTCTACGAGAGCGACCTTAAAAAACAACAAAAAAAACCTGGCGCAGAACACCGCTAGAGCTCCTCACAAGCGATCCGTTGTTCCCGGGTTAAAGAACACCACCTTCACTCCTCACGGTGGCAAAGAGAGCTGCCACCGCGCATATCCCAGAATGCCATGCTGTGTGCGAATGTGTCCAGCGGTCCCTGGTGCTTGACGGAACCATGTGAGGCTTGTGTAGGCGGCGGCACATGGTTAGATCAAGCACAAGAGACAGCTGCACCAGAGGCCAGAGTGGAGGAGCGGAGCGGGACGGAGAGGTGGGGAGGAGGAGGAGGAGGAGGAAGGAGCAGCCAGGAAGCCGCACAGAACTCTGGGCCACCATGCACACAGGCGGGCCGGCCCCTTTCCCTCGTCCCAGCATGGACAATAGTCCGCTGGGAATACAAGCCCGAAAAGACAGACAGACAGGGACTAGAAAGACACACAAAAAGACATCGCAGAGGAGAAAGGAACGGAGCAAAGCCCTCTGCCACCACACATACACACACGGCCCTAGCCAGGGTTTGAAAATTTGTGAGGTCTGGGGTGGGGTTAAGAACTGTGCTATAATAACCCCAAATATATACACTAACACTTTAAAACAGACAAGAGACAACAGAGATGGAGATGTTTGTGAAAGATGTTTTCTCTGTTTTGGAGGGGTGAACATATTTATTGCATCAACATTTTTTTATATTTTACTATAGGTTAGGGGTGGATAATTTTATCAGTTGCTTATTAATCATGCAACAATACATATTACTGTTATAGTTTTCATTAATAATAATTGCTATGCAGATGATAACTTTGTCTAGTGCTCTTATGAATGTTTTTAGCATGATTTGTGAAAATGTAACTACTTTAGCTTTTTGCGTATAGGCTATTTCATTCTGTAACCCAGTGGTTCCCAACCCTGGTCCTGGAGGCACCCCAACACTGCACATTTTGCATGTCTCCTTTCTCTGACACACCAATTTCAGGTCTTGGAGTCTCTACTAATGAGCTGATGATCTGAATCAGGTGTGTTTGATTAAGGAGACACGCAAAACATGCAGTGTTGGGGTGCCTCCAGGACCAGGGTTGGGAACCACTGCTGTAACCTACGTGTTCTACAGATCTGTGTACTAGTGTTAAATGCTACTGTTTTTGACAACGTTGATAAGGTTTCATGATATTTTTTGTGTTGCCCCTACCGAATGTGCTATCCTGACAGCAATAACCTGTCCGTGGGCTTTTTTTGATTACTGTCAGTTTAAGTGCTGGCGATGCAGTGTTGCCAGATATTGCTATAAAAACTAATAAAAAACAATAAATAAATAAAAATAAACCAATATTTTTTTGCAAATAAGATAAATATATCGCTGACCCTAAACTGTAACTTCCCACTTTATTAACTTTCTAGAGTGTCAAATTAAGTGGAAAAGACAAGTCCAAAAACACGTATAATAACTGGATCTGGCAACATGGAGGCTGCGCCTGCGCCCTCACTCACAACTCTCTCATTCACTCCGCCAGTGTCTAGCAGCGATTATTTTCATACCACGGATTCTAAACATTCTTGCAAACTGTCTAAGCTGAATTATACATGCAGACATTCATATGAGGAGTTTTAAGCAACAAATTAGTCATTCAGAGAACAAATTGTATTTTTGAACATTCACAATTTATTGAGGTCTGGACCTTGGTAATCTTACAGCTGGCTACGGGCCTGCATACACACACACACACACACACACACACACACACACAAAACAAAGATTTTCATGTGCAAACACACACTAGGGGCCAGTAGCGGGTTTGTGTGCTCTGGCGTTGCACTTGTTATTGTGCTGATACACTGACAGAAGTTTAATGAGAAAAACCTGTGGCTTAATATAAAAGCAAACAGCGGCTGCACTTCTCCCACCAAATCAGTTCCCTCAGGGGCCTGTGCTTTTGGCTGCGTGTGGGGGCCGGTTCCGACTCGTAAAAACATCTTCTAACAAGGCATCTTCATTCAGCTTCAGAACAGCCAGCATTGTCCTATTAGCACTCTGAAACCTGGCAGTGTGTGAGAAGAACTGCTCCAGGCCAGAGTATGCCACACACAAACGCACACATAGGAAAAGGAAAGGGACGTCACTGAATGTGAGGAGTCTCAGTGTGAAGAAGAATGTGAGCAGCAATTGGTGGGCCAGAACTCCGAGCCATCAACAAGTCACTGTGCACAGCCTAGTGGATTCACTGTATGGCAGGAGCTGTGTTCGGATTCATTCACTTGATTGACTGTCTTTCATAAGGTGTAAGTCTCTTTATAATGTTATCTTGGACCAAAAACCAACCATAATGTACACCACCCTTTTCCACCTACTCATTGAATTTAAACAGTTGTACTACTGGTTTTGCGTATTATACTATTTGTATTCAGTAAGGATGCATTAAATTGATCAAAAGTGACAGTAAAAGCCTTCACATTGTTACAAAAAAAAAAACAGTTTAAAATAAATGCTGTTCTGTAGAGCTTTCGACTCTTCAAAGAATCCCAAAAAACAACAACATAGTTTTCACAAAAATATTAAGCAGCACAACTGTTTTCAACACTGATAATAATAAAAAAAATAGTTATTGAGCTGCAAATCAGTATATTAGAATGATTTCTGAAGGATCATCTGACATTGAAGACTGGAGTAACGATGCTGAAAATTCATAAAATAGAAAACTTCTTTTAATTTGTAATAATATTTTACAATATTACTGTTTTTAATGTATTTTTGATCGAATGAATGCAGCCTCGACGGTCAAAAGATCATAAGATTTTTTCAATGTTAACACTTTGAAACATTTTGATAGTCCACTTTAGACATTCTAATAACTATAAGTGACTTTGTAACTACATGTCAACTAACATTCATTTAGTGTTAGTAGACTGCTTTAATATCTGCTAACACTTCATTTTCATGGTCCATCAACAGGCATTCTACTAACTATAAGTAACTTTGCAAGCGTATGTCAACTTATACTACTAACCCTAACCTAACAGTCTACTAATATTTAATGAGTGTTGGTTGATGCGTAGATGCAAATTAATGAGAGTTAGTTGACATGTATGTAGCTGCAAGGTTACTTAAATTTAGTAGAATGTTTAAAGTGGACTATCAAAATAAAATGTGACCTGTTTAAAACCCTTATATATATATATATATATACAAACTTTTGAACGGTAGTGTATTTTGACAGCGTTTTCGCTTTTGAAATGAGCAGGCAGCTACCAAGCTGCTGAATACTAACTGTAAAGTGGGCAATCATGTTACAATGTCATAACATTTTGATTTCTAAAGGACCCGTTTTTGCATCTTAATGTGAATACATATTCTGGGTGGATTGATGAAGAAGTCTTGTGAATGTTAAAGTATGTCTACTGTAGTATATTGTTCCAATTAACTCAAAATACAACTCAAATTAAGTCAAAAAGGCATAAAAGTCCTCTTTAAACAGTGTGCATGTGTGTAGCTCTACCTGTGCAGCGAAACTTCTTGCCCTTAACCTGGCTGATGCGTTTGTTGGCGAGGCGGCGCGGGTGGCTGCATCGAGCTCCGCTGGTCTCAATTGGATTGTCAAACAGGTAGTCGGCCAGCCACTTCAGATGACAGTCACACATGAAGGGATTCTGAGCGAGATGTCTGTGGAGGGCAGACATAATGATAAATCAAAACGCTTAATTAGAGTCAAGGGAGTTTGTATAATTGAACAGTAATATCCTGTGATAACAATACGATTCATAAACATGAACTATTTTTTTTCAGTGTACTGTAAGTTCACATTTATCTCACTGCTGTTAATGTTGTTGTTTTGCCGTCTACTTGCAGCTAATTAATTGTGGGGTGAAGGCAGTCCTGCTCAACAGTTGCTTAGAGACTGGAGTCTCCTGGACTGAGTGTGGGTGTGAAGGATGGAGTGTTTATGTGTGTGTGTAACTCACAGTGTTTTGATGGAGCGCAGAGGGGTGAACAGGCCTTTGCTGATGGTCTGAAGCTTGTTGTCGTAGAGGGACAGCAGGTTGAGGTTCTGCAGGTCTTTGAAAGTGTTCACTCGAAGACAGTTGATCTTGTTGGCATTCAGCAGTCTGGAAGAGTAAACAGAAGTTTCATTAGGCATTTTTTTCTCATCACTATAAACACACGATAACAAACAAACAAAAAACTAAAATCTGCTTTAAGCTTTTCATATTTATGTTTAATTTACACGTGTAATAGGCACTTTCTAACCATTTGAATTATGGCACTGAGCACATAACGCCTAAGTGGCAAAACCCCCCAAAATACTGTTAAAATTAATATTGACAATGTCAAAATGATGTATTCCTAAAATAAAATACAAAAAACATAAATAAAAAAAAAAAATGAACAAAAAGCTAAAAAGGCAAAGCAAAGACAAAACAAAACAAAACAAAAACACAAGCAAAGCAAAGCAAACAAAACAAAACAGAAACAAGTAAAGTAACACAAAACAAGCAAACCAAAGCAAAGTGAACCAAAACAAAACAAGCAAAGCAAAGCGAGCCAAAACAAAATACAAAACAAAACAAAAACAAAGTAAAGCAAAGCAAACAAAACAAAAACAAAACAAAACAATGTAAATACTTTTATTGCTGTAAATGTGTCATTGTGTCATGTATGCTGTTCTTGATGAATAATGATTATTTATTGCATTACAGAAGTCTGTATGCTCTTATTAGTGTGCTCTGTTGAGCACATGTGGCATCAGTCACCATATAGAAGCCTCTTTCAGTGCAGTCCCTGAGTCGCTGCAACGGTTTCAAGCGCATGTTTCCTACGGGTACTTTGCGAAAGACTTAAGAGACAATAAGGACTTTTTATTTTCAATTTGCTTGACGGAGCGGAAAGTGCTGCTCTCTCTGAATGATTTTATGTTTTGCTTTAAAGCCTCTAGTGGAGAGTGTGATGGTTGCAGTAAATTCAGTAATCTGCGCTGTATCAGTAAACACGAGCAGTGTGTAGATGTCACCGGAGATAAAATTCACAGTGTGGGATCCACAAAGTGCTCAAAGCTGTGTGACTTGATGTAAGCATCAGAAACATATTCAGATCTATAGATGTAATTTACTCGGTTCACAGATCACTAATTTGAACAAAACCGGAGTGAATGTGTTGTCGATGAACTGCTGGAGTATTCAGCTGCTGAGTTGCACCCATCACTCCTGTCATGTCTCGCACTTCTCTCCCGTTCAGGCCGCCTGACAATTGACTAAAGCAGTCATGTGCTTAATTACTGAAAGCCATTGTAATGAGGTTTTGTCTTGGAGCAAACACATGCATCGTTAGTCTACTCACAGGGTGAACTAATTAGGTTTGAGTATCTCAAAAAAGAAGAAAAAATAAAAATAAAAACAAAAGAAAAAAGAGTGAATAAAACCATAAACAACAGAAAGAAACACAGAAACGCCAACATAGCTTTGCGAAATTGCTGGAATGCCCTGAGGTGTACCTTTGAAAGGGTCTTATTAAGAAAATCCATTAAGGATGAAGAACTCTAATTGCTGAAAACACAGATAATTTGTATCATTATGGCAGTTGACAGTGAAAACATGAGCCGGGCCGCTCCAGTAAATCTATGGCGTTTTAGAAGCATAATAACAGGTGATGTGAGCGTATTTTTGTGCCCGCGGCAGCAGTGTGTACGTTAAGAAAAGCGGAAGCCATCAGAATTTCCCCAAAACATTAGAATAAGCTGAAACAGGCCCATTAGAGCCGACAGATTCACCTCGAGCGCAGGCCACTAAACGCATCTTCTGCAATCTCGGATATCTGATTCTTGCTCAGGTCTCTGTAATGACATAAATAGAGATAATACGGCCAACTGTTAGACCAACAAAAGGATGGTTTGCACATTTGTCTGACAGGACGTCGATACTCCATAAATACCCAACAAACTCGATACTGAGGAGAAAAGAACATAAGAAACTGCCTGGTGATCATCATTAAACCATTTACTTCTTCTCACATTAAGCTATCACATGACTTGAACTGGCGTGGACCAGTTTTTAGCAATTAAACCTTGCAATGCCATGAGGGTGAATAAATAATGACTTGATTCTTTAAAATCTTCTGTCATGTAAGCTAGATTTTCTCAATTTTGGGTTGTTGGGGTGGAAATAAACTCTACAATGATTCGGTGAGAAGTGGTTGTGAAAAACCGTACACAAATTCATTTTTCCCCCTCAGGTGTGTTTCTCTCAGGAAGCCCATATTTGTTTGAGTATATCCTTCAAAATACTGAGCTCTTCACGTCAAGGCATCACTGCCAAAGCAGAGGTGAGAAGATCTTATTAAATATATGAATTTGTGTCTAAAATATAGATTTTCTTGTGCAGGGTGACATGCCTCTAGAAACTGCGGTGCGTGTTATGAACTCGTCTACTTTTTTTTTTCAAAGTGGTTGACAGGAGATCACTTGCAGCAGGTATAGAGTTCATGCATAGGCTGAAAAAGTATAAAAAGAAAGTGTGTATACTTCTAGATGTGTCAAAATAGAGGAATGTTTAGCTGATTTTAAAGTGCTTTTTGGATATACGTAAACTATCATTCAAAAGTTTGAGGTCAGTATGATTTTTAAAAGAAATCTCTTATGCTCACCAAGGCTGCATAATAACAGTAAAATGGTTAAATATTATTAAAATTTAAAATACCTGTTATCTATTTTAATATATTTAAAATGTAATTTATTTCTGTGATGCAAAGCTGGATTTTCAGCATCATTACTCCAGTCTGCAGTGTCATACATATGCTGAAAAAGTATAAAAAGAAAGTGTGTATATTTCTAGATGTGTCAAAATAGAGGAATGTTTAGCTGATTTTAAAGTGCTTTTTGGATATACGTAAACTATCATTCAAAAGTTTGAGGTCAGTATGATTTTTAAAAGAAATCTCTTATGCTCACCAAGGCTGCATAATAACAGTAAAATGGTTAAATATTATTACAATTTAAAATACCTGTTATCTATTTTAATATATTTAAAATGTAATTTATTGCTGTGATGCAAAGCTGGATTTTCAGCATCATTACTCCAGTCTGCAGTGTCACATGATCCTTCAGAAATCATTCTAATATGCTGGTTTGCTGCTTAAGAAACATTTCTTATTACTAATGTTGAAAACAGTTGTGCTGCTTATTTTTTTCCGGGATTTTTTGATGAAAAGAAAAAAGTCTGACCCCAACCTCTTGATTGGTATAGTGTAAATGGAAAAACCATCAGTTTGTGTTGTTGTGTGTGGAAGTTCTTACATTCTCTTCAGTTTCTTGTACGTGGAAAACGCTCCTGCTGGGATGCTCTTGATCATGTTCTGCTCCAGACGACTATATGGGAACAGATGGATATGTTTTGTTACACAACACTGACTTTTCCATTACGCTAGTAATTGCATATAATAAAATTATGAAACAAATATGGCATGGTAGAGAAAAGAAAACGATGTAATATTCCTGTAGGTGTTTCGCAAATGTACATGCACCATATCACATTTATTCCACTCACAACACAGATCTGCTGGTGATTTCATTCCTCAGAGTTTGAAAGCATGTGGAGGCGTGTTTTACGGGCCCACGCTTAAAAAATAAATGTTTCATTTAAAACCGAAAGGCCTGATTTTAAGTTCCACAAATAACTTTGTTCTTTAGCTCTTTATGTAACCATCTATAAAACATTATGCTGATCTGAATAACCTAATCCCTTTTTACAATTTTTATTTAGAATGACTTCATTTATTTACTATTTTTTACTTATTGCAAATAGAACAATAGAGCAAGAGTGAATTAAATGTTCTTGATGAAACGAGGGTGCTCTGTCGAACCTAAAGTGCTCAAAAGAGTCTTTCGCTGAAGAACCTTTTGTTTTTGAGAGTCTGGCTGGTACTTAATGCTCCTTCTGGAGGTCTACAGAGAAAGCCATCTAATGCTTTACGGCAGCCTGTACATTGGGTGTTCAATTTGTGTTTTGGCTCACTGGGATAAGAGGGCACGGAAAACAAGTCCCTGAGAAATAAGCACAGCTCTCTGCATGCTCCAGGTTATACATCATTTCATTAGCCCAATTTGTTTTTGGCCATGGGCTCGGATGGGCTAATGTGTCCTAGCCTGCATATCCATTTATTATGCAAAGGTCATACACTATTGACATAACAACAACGGTGAGGAACAGCACATATCAGGGCAATTACCTACCTGTCCTTTAGTGCAAATAAAAAGGATCTCTGAATCAATATGGATACCAAATACCCTGACCAAGACGATATGGACGTTCTCCAAAGCACGAGAACATTCAATCAGCTTGAGGCAAGACAGCCAAAACCCATCGAAAAACTCGAGTGTTTTCTTTGTAACAGTATGCATGTGTGTGAGCACAACGCTGTGCTGCTATGTGATCATTAAACACGACGTCTCAGCCTATGCGCACAGTGGAAATGTTGGCATTGCAAATTTCCCATGCGCAACCAAAATGTCCTTGTTTATTGGAGGATACCGCAAAACCCCTTTTGGACGTTCTCTTGCATTTGAAGGACACCGAATACAGAAGTGGCTGGAACAACAACAAGGTCAGATGTTTTCAGCGGTGGCACTGTATGAATTACATTCATTTGATTGCTTTTTAATAAGAATACTAAAGTTAATATGCTAACATTAGCATTACGCAAGCTAACATGCCCGGCACAATGAAGCAAAGGTCATATAAAAAAGTTAATAGGCAGAAAAATTGACAACAGCATTAATCTAAAGGTTGCTTTAAAAACTGTGGCTTTCTCATAAAAATATAACCGAATCGCACAAAAAAGCCACAGTCATTAAAGACATCCAAAGACAAATACAGAGTTCTGGCATGAAACTCTAGATGGCGCAGTCCGATAGGTCTACCTCAATCTGACCTAATGACATCATTATCACATGGCACAGCTGATTGGTTCTCTCCTGTATCGGTATGAGCTCGCTGCTCAACATTCAAATATATGACTAGTGCTTGCCGTAGCAGTTGCAGCTTGCTTCAGAAACCCTCCACCTTCCCCAGCTCCACCTGTATAGATCTGCGACGAGGTGATTCATGTATGGGGGTTATTTCATGTATGTTATATTTGCAGCAGCAATATTTCTTACATGCTCACAGCAGCATGTTGTGGATGTATTGGCAGTAGCAAGTCTCGGTACTTGCTCTGCCGCAGCAGCGTAGCAGATCTATTCCGCCAAGACCAAATACATTAACATTGCCATGTACATTACCATGCCAATCCCTCCGAGAGTTGTCATGACAGAACTAGGGTTTTAGAGAACATCCTCCAAAATGAGTTTGAAATGGACATTCAAAAAAAGTGACGTTTTCTTAACATAACTATTAACTAGTGTTGTCAATCGATTAAAACATTAACTAATTAATTGCAGTTATTAATATATAAATAAATAAATAGTTTAATGGCATATTATTCTATTATTAATGATGGCCAGTATCATTGATACCAGTACTGCAACTGATACCTGTATATACCTGTACCTGTAAATGCATTTTCCCCTCAGTTTTAGCCATTCATTATAGCCATTTAACATTACAGTATAATTGAAAGACATTATTTTTAACATTTAATAGGCTTTGAAAAGTAACTAAATTGTATATGCATAAACTATAAACTGAATATAGATTAATCAGGCTACAAATGTTAATCAGCGAAGAGCAGTGAGTGGTTTCTCTTTTTCTTCTGTTCTTTGATTTACATCAGTGACGGACTGCAGCAGGTTTCACTTTAAAAGCGAAAAAGAACTCAATGCGCTACTGGCACGCTGTCTGAAGCCGCTTTCTGTGCGCTTTCACGTGTCTGATGCCTATGTTCACGGAGAGCTGCTTCACAGACAGTGCGCTGGTACCAAATTAATAACATCTCTTTTGCGTTTTATCGTGCTTGGTAGCGTGTTAATATAGTCTACTGTAACGCTAGCCAAAGGATGCCAGGGAAAAAAACAGGTGCTCTGTTAATTGTGTCAAAGACTTTTTAACGCATTAAACTGAAAAAAAAAAGAATTGCACAATTAACACATTAATTTACTGTATTTCTTTGCTCTTTATTTTGTTTCTGACCGTTTACTTGAATGGTATTGGAACAGCTGTTGTATGCTATGATGAAATGTCACAGACATCGGTATCAATTACTAAAATTTTGGTATTTGGTAATCTACTTGTACCAAAATTAGTACTTATATGAACTATATACTTAATAATTAAAAGGTCTATCTTTTCACATCATATTTCAGATAACTTCAGCAGCCTTGAATCTGCTGACAAATCACTCAGGGTTCCTGGACATTAGATTGGGCTCAGTATAACCCACCTCATTTTGATCCTTGACTGGTTGTCTAATTACCTAAACCGTGCAGACGGGATGTTGGACCTCCAGCAGCACTGAGCAAGATCTATCTGCAACTGCGGCACGACGTTAACGCACTCGTTAATAAGGCTGCTACACCGCACCACTAATGGCCTTTGTTACATGACAGGCAGAAGAAGCCAGATCACCGTACAGGCGATATCAGCGGTAAGTACTTATCACACAGGCAGATTTTACACAAATAGAGGAGGCGAATGATTTTGAGAAGTGGAATCCATACATTTCTACAATTCCCTCAGGCAGATTGGCAGGAATCTCCGTCAGGCCTTTTTTACGGCAGTCTACAATGTTGTTGTTGCAGGTGCAGGCGGCAGGGCAGATGGACGCCTGGGGAGCGCATGACCTTGGCTCCATCTGAGCAGGACCTGGGGAGGAGGAAAAGATGGAAAAATAACAGATCAGGAGGAAAATTGACTAAAGACAACATGGTTTAATGACACAAGAAAGCAAATGGAGAACACAGGGAACATTAACAGCATTTTGAGTCAAATATGAATAGAACAGCATTCCTTCTAATAGTAGTTATAACTGTCATGTTGCTTCTGTACAGAAGTGTGAAAATTAATATTAGTCCCAATAACAGAACAAATGAAGACGGGTGAAAATTGCTTTTAATACAGTACATAATCAGCAAGAACAGACTCCCTGTTGTTTTATTGTCTTGCTTTGCAGCTTAATTAAGAAACGCTTTTTTCTTGCAGCGTGTTTTGTGTTTGTGTTGGAGTATATTCATCAGTTGATTAATCAGAGGGGGAGGAAAAGGGGGCTTAATTAACAAGAGCTGAACGTGAACTTTTTCACCAATGAAACCCAAAGGTCCATTAAGAAATAGAATGTAAGGAGTTGCTTTAAAAAACAACACAATGAAAAGGCCCTAAGTGTTTACGGTGAGCGTGATTTCACCAAGTACAACATGTTCCTGGATCAACATCCTTGTTGATCCTGGAACATCATTCCAATCAACCAATCAGAATTAAGAGATAACTTTTCAGGAAATGTCAGTTTTAGGCTTACGATCAGGGTTAGGTGCTTCTACACCCTTGTTAATCAGCTATCATTTCCCTCTGATTTTAGGAATAAATTATGGGTAAGGTTAGGTTTAGGGGTGGGGATTGGGTTAAGTCTGTATTTTTGGACAGTAATGTTGATCCAGGATCAACAAAAGATGTTGATCCAGGAACATGTCTTACTTGGCAAAATCACGGCGACCAAGTGTTTACTTGTAATAGCCAACATTTGCAAATTAATTAATTACAAGTTTGAGAAAAAGACTTGTAGGACAAGGAAGGAAAGAAAGAAAGAAAGAAATATGTAAGATCCAGGATCAACAAAAGATGTTGATCCAGGAACATGTCTTACTTGGCAAAATCACGGCGACCAAGTGTTTACTTGTAATAGCCAACATTTGCAAATTAATTAATTACAAGTTTGAGAAAAAGACTGGTAGGACAAGGAAGGAAAGAAAGAAAGAAAGAAATATGTAATTTTTTAAATAAAGAAAATTATGTAGACCCTATGTACAGACCTTTAAGATTTTTCCATTGTGAAATTATTCTCATGACAAATGTATTAAAACACTCCTCCTATCATTTTCAATGCCATAATGTGGAAGAAAAAGAAGAATGTCAGAAGAGTATGTGTCATAGTGGAATTTGTTGGAGTGAGTGAGTGAGTGAATGAACGAAAGAAAAAAATAATTTAATGAATAAAGATATAAATAAGTAAATATTAAATAATAAATAGTAATCGTATAAATAAATAAATACATGTCTGTTTAGTTATTAACATCAGTATAAATAATGTCAAATGCATAACTAAATAAATGCATAAACAAACAAACAAATAAACAAGGTACTAAAAGCAAGCTTAATTTTCTTGCAAAATATGCTAAATGTAGTTTATAATAATACATTTTTTTTTCTTTTTTTCGTTGACAGGAGAAGGACATTCTGACAGAGAAAGTGAACACTGTGCCATACCTGTGCAAACAAATTCTCTCTTTTGAACATCAGGAACATTGAGACCTCTCATATGGGCGGGGGCCATGCACTGTGTGAAAGGGGCCAGCCCTCTCCTCTGCCGCAGCCAATCGGAGAGCCAGGACAGGTGGCAGTCGCAGTGCAGGTTGTTGGAGTGCAGGCGACTGGAGAGAGAGAGAGAGAGAGAGAGAGAGAGAGAATAATGAGGGACAGATAGTGAGACACTATCGGATAAAGGTCAGAGGAGGTTTATATGTATAGCATGAATGCTGGAGTGGATGATCCCTGAGAAATGTTGGGAAACAGAGCTCTCTGAAGACAGAATCAGAAGAGCAATGTTTACCACACACTCAATGTCATATTCCATCTGTCATATGGCATTTAAATGCAAAGGAGGAAGGAAATCACCGCCGAGAACAAGTAAATATTCATAGGGAGAATCTCTATACAGCTTCGGTAATGCATTTAATAGAATTTGAAATAACATGACTCGGAATAACACATCTGAATTAGTGACAACACGAGTGTGACTGGGTCATTCTATTATACGGATGATAGTAACATCTCCGAGGAGACCACAGTAAACCGCTCCCAAATCCCCAGAGCATGCACCCTCATTTCAACAAGGTCTTCAACAAATGGCACAGTTCCCAATAACACCTTAATATAAATCTCTCAAGGGCCATTACACGAAGGGTACGAGAGACACTGTTCAAAGAAAAAGTGGTGTCAGCGAATCAAAAGGCGCAGCTATACCGGTCAACACTGTCTGTAAATGAAATAGGCAGAATCCAGTTAGGAGGACAAAAACCCGCCATTGACGATTTCAGCAGGGGGCGATGGTTTTAATAGAGCTTTTCCCATTACAAATCCAGTATCTGGCCCCGTCTTTGCGGATTAATTACAGATGAGTGGGATTACAGAGATGGATGACATGAGGAGAAGAAGCCTCGGCTGCCTCAGGTGCATAGGATGAGCCGAGGACGGGCACGATGGGGAAGCTCCACGTGCAAGCACACCCTATCGACCGTCATGCACTGAAAGTGATTAGCGGTAGGAGTGCTTTTCATTTGTCTGAGTTATTGAATGGCAAGCATCATGGGGTGATATCATTTGATCTAATTGAATGCACAAAGATAGTATGTCTGTAGAAGGTCGGGGAAAGGTGAGGCAAACTGGACTATTTCATCAGAAACCTGCAGCCAAACCACCATCCTACTAAACGGATTACCAGCATCTCTAAAAATTTGATTTAATAAGTTGTTTTTACGAGCAACAAATTCAATACAGATATATCAGGGATATTAGAGACAGAAAATTCAATCCAAAGGAACTGGGTAGCAACCAAAGCCTCGCTGTTGATAATTCAATACTGCCCAGGGAGCAACGCGCCCGGCCATCCGAGCATCAGCAAATTCAATCCCGCATGAGGGGTCTGGCCTGTCTGATGGGCTGACTGATGGGAGGGAGGCCAGACCGCTCGGCTGTGGAGCTCCAGCTATGAATGACTCTGAGCGCAGGCTCCAGGAAGAACGCCGTGACGGAAAGAGGAGGAGAGATAGATGGAAAAAGAAATGACGATAACCCTAAAGCCTTGTGTTTCAGACGGAGATTCAAACTCCCAGAAGCCCCGAAATCAAACTAGCATTTACTCCTGACATATTTCTTTATTTATCCCTCTATTAGAGCCAAAGCTCTGAGAAGAACGACCACACTCGAATAATAATAAAAGCATCTCTGAGTCTTGTTAATATCGCAGGTCAGCCACAGATTGGAACGAGGTTTGGGGACTGTGTAATTATTTATATAAATTGTGGTTTGGGTCTGACAGTGCAAACGTAGAGGAGCGACACAGGCATCTGTGTTAAGAAAACCATCTCAATATCTTCAGCTAAGACAACGTCTGCTTGCAAACAGACCACAGCTCTGAAAACTGGCACGGCGTCACCACAGAGCCTCTAGTCAGGCAGCAAATCCTTTCAAAAAGAGTCAAGATTTAGAATGAACGTCACTAAATGTAGATAAATGAATATCTGATTGCATAGCATTACCATGAAGTGGACAAGAAGCTCCTCAGTACTTACAGTGTCCGCAGTTTGGGCATGTGGTTGAAGCTTGACAGCGGGATGAGGGTGATGTTGTTGTTGTTGAGAGTGCTAGAAGGAAAAGAAGAAAGAACAAATATTAGAAAAAGGCATTTACTTAGTAAACAGACAGCCAGTGAATCCAGATAACATTTGACAATACAGACCAGACCAGTGTTTTGCTGAATTCGCTGAACAATATACACATGCAAACCTGTTTCCTTAGAGTAAAAAATAAAAAGGTAATTGTTAGATAACTTTTTTAAATAAGAAATAGTCACTGGGAGTAGTGCGTGCTATGGTCTGCAAAATAATGATATCATCGATGATGTGCACACTTGTAATTATGGATGGCAGAGCTCTCTGCTTCCTGTCATACCAGCCACAGCTCTGATTAGCGCTACTTAGCTGACCTAATCTTGTAATCAATCCATCCCACCCCATAACCCCCTAACCTATCGCACACATGCAGAACACACAGCCTCCTGTACCTCCACCTCTTGGAAAAGGGTCTGGAATTTCTCAATTTAGGATTTTAATAGTTCCTGCTTGGTGAGGGAAAACTGCTGATCTCTCTGACTTCGCCAATTTAGTTTACAGCTTGGGTTTGGGGTCTGAGTATTCCTTCTAATGAATCCTGCAACGGTACTTCTTGAGTACAGTGCATACATGATTTACATTTATGGATTTGGAAGATAATGAATTAGACTGCATTCAAGTTATACACTTTTTTTGGGAACTGAACCCATGACCTTGTGTCATGCTCTACTCTTTAAAGGGAAAGTTCACCCAAAAATGAAAATTCTGTCATTAATTACTCTGGACTTGGGAACATTTCAGTTGCGTTGCTGTCTATGTAGGGTCAGACAGCTCTCAGATTCCATCAAAAATATCTTAATTTGTGTTCCGAAGATGAACGAAGGTCTTACGGGTTTGAAACGACATGAGGGTGAGTAATTAATGACAGAATTTTAATTTTTGGGTGAACTAACCCTTTAAGTTACAGGAAGACAAACAGTCCCATAGATTTTGGTATTAATCCCAGAACCCACTGACTGATCAGACCAGCTGCTGGTCTTGCTTTTTATTCAAGGCCAGTTAATTTAGTCTCAACACAAACAAGCTATTTACACTATTGGAGTGATCAGATTTACAATTCTGACCAATGGAAATTTCCCAGCCCGAGTCCAATTCTTGGTACTATAAAATTGCACAAATCAGAGGAAAACTAATCCCTCTAAAATATAACATTCTTGCGGGACTTTAAATGATTTCTGAATATTGATTTTGGCTCGGATCTGTGGTGGAACACTTTATTATGAGTGAGGGAAAGAAGAAAACTTACTAAATGGAATGGAAAATTATTGCTATTCTACACATAGACACAGAAAATTCCACACAAATCACACACAGGGTGAAGGAATCACCCTTGCGAGGAATTGACCAAATCCGCACCAGAAAGCGATCCTCTTGTCAAGGCCGCTGTGGCTCAGAGGTTTCATTGCTGTTCTCTGCCGCTCTATAGAGATGTAAATAGAAGAAGCTCTGGGCAAGCCGGAGGGAGGAACGCCCTGGTAAAAGCCTGTAATACCAAACCATCACCAAGGGAAAATGCAATTTGCTCAGGAAGGACTATCTCCCATCTATGAAACCTTGGGAGCATCCTCCAAAGTTAGGTGATGTAAGAGAAGAAAAGAACAGAACAGAACTGAAGAAGGACTGCTAAAGAGAGAACAGGATCCACAGAGAGCGGCGAACAGCTTGTGCTTGCTGTGGTAGTGCTCTCTCACTCATTCATATTTCAGCCATCCGGTTTCCAGGTTTAGAAGCTCCGAGTAAAAATAAATCTCATATAGATTTCATTCATGCAGTAGTAATTTGAAAAAGCTGGAGCCGGACAGGCGTCACAGTTATTTTAAATCGGCTTAAACCTGACATGTTAATGCCGAGAGCCATGACCTTTGGTGTCAGACTGCACCTGTTAATATGGACTTCTCTGGTATGAGTTAAGCTTTGCCACAAGAAACATTGAGCAGCGGACCAAGGGTCTTAAAGAAGAGCCCACTGGAGAGACGCTGTCTTACGCAAGACTGTCAGTCTTCCCTTTATCCAGCCCTCCGCACTGCAGAGGGCCGCCCACTGCTGCAGCGTTGGATCTCAGCAAATAACAGTGCAGCATGAGCGGCTCTTGCTAAAGCCACTTGTGATAATTGAAGATCACCTTGAGTCTTTAAAATTCCTTTGTCTTCATCGCCGGCCATATTAAGTCATTCCGCCTGTGTCGCCTTGTAGTTGACCATAAATCAAAAATGTGTTAAGCAAAATCAACTGCTGCAGGGAAGGACCGCATCCACAGTGTCTCCAGAGAAAGTGCATCCAAGCCAAAACGAAATGAAATCAATGCCGGATCCTGACAAATACCGCGCTGTACAGCTTGACTATGTAACTTTATGATTTTATTTAAAGCTCTATTGATGCAGGCGTCAATAAAAGCGGGCAGCTGTTAATTGCTCACAACGCTTAGTCTTCAGACCGTCTCAGAGGGGCACGTTTTCTTTTTACTTCCCTTTTCTTTTCTCGGCTATGTCAAGAAAGCTTTCCCACAGTCGCAAAAAGCTTGACAGTGGGGTCTTGAGTGCTCTTAGGCTTTCTTCAGGCCCTCATTAGAGGGACTTGGAGAGGGTCTCTGGATACTTCACTCCTAAAAGACGGCTGGGTTTTCAGAGCCAGGACATTTCGAAATAAGAGTGAGGTTGTTTTGGTGGATGCAGGGGGCTGAATGGAAATAACTGAAGTGCTCCCTCGCCTGACTTAGGGCCATTCACTTGCACAACTGAGAAATCATGAGGCAAAGACGTGTTATTTGACATGACAGGCTTGAGGAATGTCAATACTCTTCCTTTGAGTGTATAACTGTCCTGGTAACTGACCCTTATTCTAAATCGCTTTGGTAAGAAGACTTGCGTTCATTTATATAAACGTAAAGGTTGAGGGTTTTCTGCTCAACTTTTTGTCTTCTCAATCCTTTGTCTCCTTCATATGGTGTAAAATCAAGTGCGTTTGCAGAGGGCCTACCTTAAGAAAGTAGGGAATATACACAACCTTGTCTACATACGACCATTCACTTACTATCTTGCAAACTTGAGTGAGCCAACATATCTGTGATGTTTCCATGGGAAACTATTATCGCTACTACAGCATAATGGTGAGTTTGCAATGCAAGCGTCCATCCGAGCAACCATTTACAGGGCATCCCTGCGTCGGGCCCTCGAGTCAAAACAAATGAGTAAAGTGGCTCCAGATGGAGAGCAATTTCATTATGAGACTCCACTTGTTGCAGTGTGATGGAATTCATGTGAGCAGGATGGAAATCTTTGCCATTGTTTTGCTTAGCATCGCAAGTTCAGCTACAGCACAAAGCCGCAATCAGACGTTATTCCGCTAATTCAAATAAACCCAGTGAGGATAAACACAGAAATAACACGATCTGCCATGCATAATCCCATCCATGTGGTTTGTGTTTAAGTGTGGGCTTATTAAAAAAAAGAAACACTAGTGCTTAGTATTTGTAACAAAAAAAAAAAAATGGGAAGCTTTATGGCTGCATAAACCTACCCGTTGCCTCCTCTGAAAAAAGAGAAAGAGCTCTCCATCCCTCCATGGTGCAGAGGACGGGAGGAGAAGCGAAAAGAACAGGCACTACAGTGAAAACAGACACGCTTCCACCACCATTGATGAGGCCATTATAGCGTAAATGAGGATAGATTGAATCTAAGCTGTTCCGTCGGCCTCCCTCCTCTCTTTGGCCATCCAGGAGCGAATGATTAATTGTGCACACGGGTCTGACTGCTGAAACGCACAATTTCCAGCCTGCCCCCTCCCCATCTCCCCGAGCTTTGGCATAGACCACACGAAGATAACGCAATGGGGCCATGTCTGGTGGCAAGGCAATTTCCTGTGCTTGAAAGTGCTGTTTGTGAGCTAATGACAGTTCTCTCCCCCTCCACTCCCCTAATCCATCCTCTCATTTAGCCATCAGCTTGCCCTTTCTCCCTCCGCCTGCCTGTTGTCTGTCACATAAAGACTCATCTATTGACTAAAGACAACCTTTCAATCAGGCCTTGCAGAAGTAAGGCTGATTTGTCCAGAGGGAGGCCAAACCGTGTTAGAAATTAAAGTTGCATGGAATATCTGATTCAAGGGAATCTGTGCTCTCGAGTTCCCAAAGAGGGAATTATTAAATCTGAAAAGAGCTAATGTTTTGTACGGGAGCACAGGGGTTAGAAATGATTAGGATAAGGGGCGGCAGGGGCCGAAAAGGAGCAAAGCTCAGGGTTATCGTTGCCAAGAGGAACATTCAAAAGGTCTTGCATTGAGAAAATGACATTATGAAGGTAGAAAACTGCCAAACCATAAGCCCCGAGAAGAAGAAAATTATAGTTCTCAAACCTTACATATGAAATACACGGTATTTCATTCGTAATGCATTTAGGTTTCGATCAAATGCCCCCCAATACAATCCCAGGACGTCTACGTAACCACAGAAATGTGATAGCTTCTTCCATTCAGCATTTTTCCAAGTTCTTGAGTCTGACAGCGTGGCATTTTGTAACCAGGATTAATAATCCACCTCCTCACGCTCCCTTACACAATCAGCGTCTAATCTGACAACACACTGCAAATACTCAGATTTACCCTGGTTGGAATTTCATGGCATGCTATTGCACTACAAGCGAGTCTCTTTAAATGAAAATGTGAAAACCTCATTAAGTGAGCACATCTGTGGATTCAAAAGGAGAAGAGGCCGTAGTACATAGTGGTGCATATTGACTGGTGAACCGCAAAGACGTCCCTTTGGGGCACGCCGCCCATGCTATCATGCTAAACTCACTTTAGTTCGACCAACGAGGTCTGTGCCAAGCTGTCGAGAAAAATGTGCCGTGCACACATTGACAAATGACAGCATTTGGCAGGAGGAGAGGACGGTGGTAATGTGAAAATTTGGGCCTTCTTATCAATGCATGGTGGGAGGGAAAGTCACCTTCAGGAGATGGCACGGAAATGTCTCGGCACTCTCCTGCTCATAAAAAAATGACACAGCGGGGCAAAAAATTTCACATGATTTGACATTTGATTCAGAGCCAGAATTTTCTGTACAAAAGTGGTTATAAAATATGCAGAGGCTCCAGCGCTTGCGAGAGTGCTGTGTATAGACAAAGCTGAGTGGGGTATATGGGGAATTTCCAAAATGCTCTTTCTCAAAATACTATAAATTCCCTTCTCACATTTAAACCACATTTTATAAAATAGCCCTGAAGGACGATTATAAAACTTGTGAGCGATTCCACAAAAGATCCAAGTGTTTAAACAGCAAGTGAACATACATTTCGCTTAGCATAATTTGAAACAGATTGTGTGAGACTTTCTCATTGTCTCTTCATTGTGTGCTTAGCACGATAAGAACATACATCAGAACAAAATGTGCTTACCATAACCCTGCTGAAAAATAAATCCGCTTGAATACTTGACCAGGTGGATGTTCTTCATGCTTTCTTTGGCTTCATGAATTTTTGAATGAATAACTGGCCAAACTCATGCTGAATATACCTATTTTGAAGTATAGTTTACATTTTTTTGTTCTCCTTACGATAAGAAAGGTTAAAAAGTTACAGTTTTTTTAACGCTTAGACCATGGCTTCCAAACATCAAATTTATTTGTTATTTTTAAACAGCGATTTTTCATTTCACCTTAATTACTTGGCTAAGGAATCATATTAACTACATTTTTTTTTAACCCGCTTAACCAAATTAAAAAAAAAATTCTGTATATTGACAATGGTGTATGTATGAAAATTGAGTTTCAGGCACATACCCATGAAAAATATTCAGTTATTCTTACACCACATGGAATCCCATTTATATTATATATGAAATTTTATTTGATATGTCTTTGTAAAATTAGAAATGAGAAGCGCTACCAACATTCACGGTTATTAAAAGCACCAACTTGAATTTCATGAATATAATAAAGATAAGGTGGACACCTTATAATGCACAGTTCCACACAGTCCATCTACATTTAAAGCAAGAATGGAAAGATAAAAGGGCCTGATTTGGTGTATATTTAAAAAAAACGATCAGAATGAAAAATGAGAGGAAGCGCAAGCAGTACCTAAGTATTAAATGAAAAATAATCAAGGGGTGCTCCTTGTTAGGCAGGTTTAGGTGCTCTGCAGATGGAAAACACATCGATGTGCTGCCTACCACACTTCCTTCAGCTCATTGGGATGCAAGTCACGTCCTGTGTGAGAAAATGTCCGAGATAGCTTTGAAGTCATTAGTTCAGTCATTAGCGCAGTTATGTTAAATATAAATTACAATTCATCAGCAGAAAGGGCCGATCATTAATTCTGTGTAGTTTGGCAGGCGTTAAATCACTAGCAGTCATTTAGTTGTGGAGGAGGGTTAGCCACGAACCGCTCTGTCTAATCTCTACTCTGATCACCATCTCTAAACCATCTCTAAAAATAAGTGTTTAATAGCTCCCCGCTTTGGAATTTTGTTAGTCGCTGTTTATGGTGATCACCAAAATTTTACAGTGATCACGAAAACCCAACAGTGCATGATGGGAAAGGATGCTCAAATCTCTCAATTATGTCGCAGTGCACCATCTATTTTAATAGGCCTTTAATGATCATTGAAATTAAAGGATTCAGTTGGCCTCTGGAGTTATGCTTAACACACCGCGCTCAAACAATGCATTTAATACGACCCCTAAATTACACCAAGTGCGCTCTGAATTGCAAAAACACACATTAACATCACATTTTTAGAATGTTTATCATTCGTTCTTTTATTTATAACTCCAGTTGTCAAATTATACTGATCTACTTCGAAAAAAAAACCACACACACGCTTGCCCTGAATTCACATAATCCAGCACTGTTTTAAACACAAGAACTAATGTGGTTGAATGTGTTAATGATGTCTACAATCAACAATCCCAGGACATTTCTAAAAGCATAAATGAACCCTTAAAACTCCACTACTCCTGCTTTTTACACCATTATGACATCACACTGAGTCATAATACTCTTTGGCGATACAAGAGATGGATCTCCATCTGCTGTGCTGCCATTCAGAAAGATCAGTCTTAAGACGAAAGTTAGTCCGGACTATAATATAACTCATGTTGGAAATCGTTCAGTGTCCTCACACTGAGACTCACAGCATTAACACCTGCGGCGAAATCGCTATACCTAAACCTTAATTTCGCCATCAGTTACCTAGAGGTGTCATATTCTCACAAACTGGCTCTGTAGCACAGCCTTAACGTTCAGCCGTATGTTGAATCTGTTACTGGAGAACATGGATTTAAGCTTGATTATTGCGCATGGGGTTATTTTGCCATGATACAGTGTCATTTGCAGACCTGTGTGTTGCAGCCTCTCCAGAGGGGTGGAGAGATGGCTCAATCAGCAGGAAAGTGATGTGTATTCATGTGCCACGGCTCTCCTTGGCTCGCAGGGGTCCCAAAGGTCTTTGGCAGAATCTAGGGAGGTTCTGTATTATTAATGAAAATTTATTCCCGACTTACTCACACTTTCCTGCTCCCGAGCTCCTGTTTTATAAGGTCATTTTATGCTCTGGTCATGAGGAGAGGACAGAGGACACGGAATATATTCCTATCTTTCCTTCTTTGATTCTACCTTCACCTCTAGCTAACACTGCCGGAGAACCTGCCTAACAATGATGTAATGCCGTGCTGCTGTGTCCTATGGAGCCCGGAATTAATAGAGGGGGTGGCTTGGCGGTTAGCCCCCCCCCTCCGTATATCCTGCTTCCAGCCTCTCATCCTCTCCGGGACAATCCAGGGGACACCCAAGGAAAAAAATGAACTCACTCACAAACACATCAAATCTCTTCTCTGCTATCAAAGCGTTTACTATGAACTCTGACTAAACCAAAAAAAAGGTCTTCCCAGCAGGCAGGAGAACAGAGAGCTGAGCATCTAACTGAGTCTAACACCTGCTTTAAAGTAGGAAGTGCAAATCTACAGACGTTCTAATCAGAAAACGCTAAGGTGCACCCGGCAAAGTCAGGACACCTTTTCAAGCGGCAACAATGCAGCACAGGATGACAAACGAGCAACTTTAGCTGTTGCACAGACGATCGCATGCTAAGCACCACTGTGTCGGACCAGACGGGGTGACACCGGACTATGCGCCACAGGTCCATAACGCAACACAGTTTGTCCTTCGAGAGCAATCAAGAAACACAGAGACAGAGTTAGAGGAAGGGACAGCAGAGGTGAAGAGAGAGGAGAGAACCCCGCAGAGGAGGCGGGAGGGGGACTCACAGTATCTCCAAATCGCGCAGGGCTCGGAAGGCTCCATCTTCGATGCAGCTGATGTGGTTGCTGTCCAGTTGCCTGCAGATGATTCTTCTTTTTTTTTTTTTAAGTCAGAAAGGGAGTAATTTCATTACATTAGAGCAGCCAATCCATTACAAGCTTTTACCGGCTCTGTCACAGAAACAATTTCATTAAAGGAAGGGGTTCGTAAATCAGGGTCACGATGCTGGACGAGCAGACGCGAGGGGCACTTCTTCCTTTTTGCTTCTTTTTCCTTTTCCTTTAATTTGCAGACTTTGCCATCCACGCCTCCTTCTCTCTGTTTACCCCTCCCTCTTTGAGATGGATTTGAAAGGGCTTGAATAAAGAACAAGGAATCTAAGCGCTTTCCTTAAGTCATTTGTTCGGCAAACAGAGCTGCGGTGACATCTGACCCGTGGCAGACACGGTGCCTTCGCGTCTTTAGAGGCGGATAATAAAGAAGAACGGAGCTTCTCTTGCGTGTCTTTCACGCCATCCCTTCTTTCCAAAAGACATGCATCTGTCTCCATAATTGCTGATGGGACAGACTATATGGCAGCCACCCACTGCAGATGCATTAACCATCACTCTGAAAATTAAATAACCTACATGAGCAAAAGTAAAATGTTTGTCTTTTACAATGGATATTTTTTCATCCAAAGTAAATTAAGACTTTAAAGAAATGCTTCCCTTGAGAATGAAACAATAAACCAGTGCTTTTATAAAATAACAACAATTATATACTGTAAACAGGGGTGTGAAGTAACGAATTACAAATACTCACGTTACAGTAATTAAGTAGTTTTTATCAGTAATTGTACTTTTTTGAGTAGTTTAAAAATGGTGTACTTTTACTTTTACTTGAGTAAATTTTAAGTGATGTATCGGTACTTTTACTGCGGAGTAAAATAGCGGTATTTTCCTCCGTTTGTGGTCGTTACATGTTTATTTTAATTTTAATTTTTATCCATCAACTCATTAAAGGTGGGGTATGCATTTTTTCAAAAACGGGCAGAGTACCAAAACAAACTTGTAGCCAGGGGTGTGAAGTAACGAATTACAAATACTTACGTTACAGTAATTAAGTAGTTTTTATCAGTAATTGTACTTTTTTGAGTACTTTTACCTCTTTTTGAGTATATTTTAAGTGATGTATCGGTACTTTTACTCCGCTATTTTCCTCCGTTTGTGGTCGTTACATGCTTATTTTAATTTTATTTTTATCCATGTGATTGGATAGAGAGATAGTAATAGGTCTCGTGACTTTCGTCAAATCAAATTGTGCATAGAAAACTTTAACCGCCAACTGTTTATCATGGCTGCTGGAAGTGCATTATTCAAGCATCAATTCCATCGCATCTTCCTCTATGTTAAGGTAAATTTAGGATATTTTGGATTTCTGCTTACTAAACGATTTGTATATATGCTTGCCTATCTACACGGCCTGAAATTTGGTGTGAGATTGCGGGTATTGCATACAGTGTTAACTCCAGCAAGTGCCACGTTCGGTAAATTCCCACTCACTTATGAGACGCGCGAACTGCGCTGCCTCGTCTTTCTCTCGCGTGCGTTCTGCAGCAGTCACTTGGAAAAGTCGTTGTTGCTTGTTGAGCTTGTTGACTTTTGATGAGTTTGAGCGAGTGATGCGCGCTGTGAAAAAGTGTGTTGGAAACACAAATTGAGGACCAATCTGCACCTCATTGATGACCCGTGGCGTTAATATACTGCATCTGTGCCAGCGCGTGATGTAATAAAACTGCAGCTAGTTAATAAACGTGTTTTTTTTAATCCATTTTATACAATCCACCTTCATTTAGCAAGTGCACTCGCGCATAAACAATTTTCAAGTTCAACACTTTTTGTTCCGTTCAGTTGTGGATGCTGCTGATTCACAGAGACCGCCGCGGCTCAGCAAAGAGACATGCGTGTGTGTGTGTGTGTTTTCCTTTGAAAAAGATTCCCCAGAAATACCTCGCTATTTAATGCATTTTTCCTTACAAATTGTATTATCAGCATAACAATTCGAGTAAATGTGTAAAAGGTATGGCATGATGCCATCCTTCTAGAACAATGTGCATTTATGTTAAAATTGTAACAAAAATTATCAAGTTTAGTTATTCTTATTTCTTTATTGCAAAACGCTAAAACTGGCACCGTTTTGGAGAGAAATGGGCTCTCATTTTAACCCATATCATGGTGTGTGATGCTGAACTATGAGTTTCTAATGGTGTTTGTATTTGCACTGTTCTAAACATTAAAGGGGTCATA